GTGAAGCAGTTACGAAATTACTGCACTTTGGCATCAGAAATAAGAACACATAAGAAACAGGAGTACGTACAATCACGAGAGCCTGCTCCACCATTCAATATAATCATGACTGATTTCCAAGTCTCTCTGAACATCAAAAGGTTACACACATTTAAGAATATTCTGTTTTCCTGTTATTACTGCCAAAGTGAACAATCTGACACTGACCCACATGATACTCTGTCCACCACCTTGTTATCCACTGTCTGAATTTAGTTATATTTCTTGGCAGTCTTCTGGTTCTCCTCACAGCTTAACTCTGACTTAGTTTTGCATTGTCAACAAACATATATTTTTCTTGATCTCTCCATCTGCGTCATTAAGATAGATTGTAAATAGCAATCTAGCACTCCAGCACTTGCAAAACTCCACCAGTTACAGTCTGCCAAAAATGTTGCATTTACTTATGCTGTTTGGTTCATGGAGAGGAAACAATCTGTTTATATGCTAACATAATAATCACCACATCCATGATTGTTTTTTGGATTAAAGGCAATTTTATTAACACAGATGGAGAACAGTTCGATCACGCATAGTTCTCGTATCCTCAGGTGGCCTATGGACCCATGCTTACTCAAATTTCCGGCCTTTTGATTTATTTTCGGTTTGGTGAGGCTGTGTATCTTGCGTATTAATCTTTTACAAAGCATCTCATCAAATGCCATTTGGAAATCCAAGTATACTACATGTCTTGGGTCCCTATTATACACTTTACTAGTTTCATCCTCTAAAGTGTATTGTTATGTCTTCCTTCTAAAACTGGGTATAATATGGCACAGCATCTGCAATTCTTTAATTATTTTTTATAATATGGCACAAGTTTGAGAAATAGTAATCTTAAGTGTCTAATGCCCCTGATATTTTTTAAAAATAAAGCACAATGATCAAGTACTCGAAGACAAACCTATTTTTTTCCACTAAAACACTCAAGGGTGAGTTTCAACTTATGATATTTATTACACAGTGCTTGTCATAATCTTCACCTGTATAATGTGGTCTCTATAGGCCAGAAAGTGAATGCCTATTAATAAATATTTCCTTCAATTAAAATATTTAAATACTACTTAATACTTGGTTTGGCCAATTAAAAATCAAGTCCAAATGTCAAACATAAATCCACTAATCATGCAAACAGTATAAATGTATAACAGCAGACGGTGTGGCTGTCTTTTGTGGCACAATGATTGTGTCCCTCCCTTTGAGCTAGAAGGTCCGTGTTCAAGTACCTCCTGTTCCAGAGGTGCATAATAACACTCTGTATAGGTTGTTTCAAAAAAAAAAATATAACAGTTGATTAACTGTGTAATGGATTTAGCTAGGGTCTAATTCAGCTGAAATTACTACAGGGTATGGCAGAACAGTTATACGCAAAAGACAAAAAAAGTTTTTGCAACATGAATGCAATGCCCACAATGTGAGTTCTGAAGCCAGCTCAACAGGAACATTAAAAAGAGAAATGGATAAACAGGAGAGGAAACTATTAAAATGATTCAATCAAAAAGACTGAGAATTGAATTACAGTGGATAAAGAGCTAACAAAAGCACAATGGATTAGAAACAATGCTAAAAATTTTAATTCTACCATCAGAAAAGTTCTTGGTCTCTTAGACCTTCAAAGCAACTTTATTACTATATCAACAGCTGTGTTCTAAGGAAACACCCATTTGCATATGGATGTATTCAAAAGTCAGAAACAGAGTGAAAAACCCATGATTAAATGACACGATTGAAGGGACACCAAGAGAAACAGAGTTATTGTTCTATTACACTTTTCAAGCCCACCGGATGTTCCAAAGCACTTTCCAGCCAAATTAAGTACTTTTTAAATGTATGACTACTGTAACATATGAAACGTGGCAGCGAATTCACACATTGCAAACTCCCACAAACAGCAAAGCTATAATGAATAAATAATCTGATTTATAATGCTGATCATATTGGCCTAGGCACCAGAATAACTCTACTGTTCTTCTTTAAACTACATCTACTTGACCAGGCATATTCACCCTTAGACATAATGTCTCATGCAAAAAAATGGCACTACACATCCTGCAGGACCTTCCTCATTTCTGCACCAGAGAGTCAACTTAGACTGATTTGCTTAAGTCCTGGTATGTGACTTGAACTCTCAACCTTCTGGCTAAAAGAGGCAATGAACCATTGCTGATAGACACCTAATACAAACCATAAGAGTTCAATAACATTCAAAAGTACTTGCATTTCTACTGGCTAATGGTGAAAACCTTGATTAGCCTTTATTACTCACACCCTAATTGTGATTTAATAGAATATAGGTAAAAATAATACATTTATTACACAATGTGCATTAAAAAGCACACTGAATAAGTTCCATCATTCAAAATGCCCTTTTGCAACATATCAGGTAAGAGAACATTGGGCAAACATTATCAATTTTTAAATTTTAATATAAATACATGCTTTCTTAACAAAGGGCCAGACTGAAACAAGTAACAAATTGGAATTACTCTCCACATACGTTAACATTTGCAACTGTTCATTACTTAGAAAAAGACAACTAGAAATGCCAATTAATTACCAGCTCCCAGTGGAATGTACTGCATTGTAATTTGCACGATTATGGACTGTATGCAAAGGTGTCAAATACATAAAGCAGTGAGGGAAACTGAACCCATGTGTATGTGTGACAGTGTGACTGACGGGCGAGTGGGGAACACCAATCCAGAGGCACAAGCATGCAGACAAATAGTGATCTACTGGAATGAGTGGCCAGGCTGGTGACATGGCAGGGTGTAGGGATGATGAGGTGAAGGGATCCAGCAACCTGGGCAGCTGGAGAGGTGGTGGGTGGGGGGGAAATCCAGTGATCTGGGCAGTGGGGGAGTCTAGGGGTTGATGTGAAGAATGACCTAGTGACCCAGGCAGTGAGATGCAGAGTTGGCTAATGACACAGGCAGCAGACGGGTCCAGCGACCCAGACAAGATACACATCAGTGTGTCTGTCCAGCAACCCAGGAGGTCAGGGTGATGGGCAAGGTATCCAGTGACCTGGGCAGCCTGAAGGAGGTTATCAAGTGACTCAGGCATCTCAGTTTTCCAGCAACCCAGTGAAGTCTGATCTGTTAAACCAGGCAGTGAGGCGATCCAGCAACCCGGGTGGCGAGGGGATCCAGCAAAATGGATGGATAGCTGGAGCGGTGGGGAAGGAATCCAGTGACCTGGGTTACTTAAGGGTCCAAGACCCTGGGAGGTGAGGGGATTCGGAAAACTGGGCCATGAGATGAAGCATTAGCCAGTGACCAGGGTGGGGGTGGGGTCGTTCCAGTGAGGTGGCAGGGGAGTGAAGATGGTGGGATTGAGTGACCTGGGTGGTAGGGTGGTCCAGAGACCCAGGTTGTGGGAGGGATCCAGCAACCAGGGTGGAGAGGGAGGGTTCCAGGGACCCAGGCAGTGCCATGAAGTGTGGGTCATCAATCTAATGACCTGGATGACCACAGGGCGGTTATCAGTGACTTGGGCATCAGGGTTTCCAACAATCCAGGCGGCAAGACGATTCACGGAGCTAGGTTGTGAGGTGAAATGAAGTGTAATCTGGTTAGCCATGCAGTGAGATGAAGCGTGAGCCAATGACCTGGCAGGCAATCCAGCAATCAGGGCAGCAGAGGGGATACAACAACCTGGACAGACAGGAAGGGAGTATCCAGTGATTTGGACAGTTGGAAGTCCAGGGACGGAGGAGGTGAGGGGATCCAGAAACCCAAGTGGCGAGGTGAAGGGTGGGCCAGTGACCTGGGCGGTGGTGGAGGGGTGGGCCAGTGACCTGGGCGGTGGTGGAGGGGTGGGCCAGTGGCCCAGGTGGTGGGGGAGAGAACCAGCAACCCAGGTGAACTGGAAGGGACAGATCCAGTGACCTGGGCAACAGAGGATCCAGGGACCCAGTGAGGTGAAGGGTGGGTCAGTGACCCAGACAGGGTAGGGATCCAATGACCTGGGCAGCAGGGATCCATGATCCCAGTGGACCTAGGCAGCCGGGGTGGGGGGAGGGAGAGGTATCTTGGTCTTGGGTAGTGATCAGTTGGCTGGGGAATGCAGTGTTGAGGTGAGGGATATTCTCATGACCCAGGCTGTGAGATGAAGAGTGGGCCTGTGATCCAGGTAGCTGTGAGATCCAGCGACCTGGACAACTCGATGGGATTTTCCAGGGACCAAGGCAGTGACGGGAAGTGTGATCTGGTTACCCAAGCAATAAGATGAAGGGTGGGATGGTGATCTGGGCAGCGGCGTGATCCAGTGACCCAGGCAGTGAAGTGTAGAGTGGGATGATGACTTGGGCAGTGAGGGGCTCCGGGGCTCCAGTGATCCAGGTGGCCAGGAAGGGTCGTATCCTGTGTGGCGGGGTATCCAGGGACGAAGCGACCTGGTAGCCCGAGAAAAGCAATCCAGTGACCCAGGCGGGTGGGCGTGAGTGGGTAGGGGGGGGGGGGGGGGGGGGGGGGGAGTGTCCAGTGAGCTAGGCGGCCAGGGCTGAGAAAGGGGTGATATGCGGGATCCAGGCAGTGGGGGGCGGACGGGGGATGTCCACGGACTAAGACTGTGAGGATATCCATGGACCCAAATGGTAAGGGGATACAGGGACGTGGGCGGTGAGGCAAAGGGTGATCCGCTGATCCGGGCGGTGGGGCGATCCTGGCAGTGGGTAACCGGGTGATCCAGTGACTGGGTTGTATGTTTGCGCGCACGCGTCGGGGGCTGGGTAACGCGTCGTTAGTGACAGCTCCGGGGGATTGGGAGCAGCGGTGGCAGTTTGCCTTCAGTCGGGCCTGGAGGCGGAGGAAGGGCATTAGGCTGTGGTGAACGGTCCGCCCTCACTGCGGGATTCAGTCACGGCCGTGTGGAAAAGTGGGGGGAGGGGTTGGGATGGGAAGGCCTGAACAGGGTGAGTGGTTTTCTTGTGCCACACGAAGGGAAGGCACTCTCCTTACCCCAGTACTCTCATGGCAGCAGCAGAAGCCACTCCAGTCGCCTCCCTCCAACCGCCGCCCGGCGCTCGCGCCACTGCCTGTTGACGCCGGCACCGCCTGCGAAGCGACAGCGCATGTGCACGCTGCTCATCTAGCCCCGCCCACTTGCCTCCAGAGCCGACTCAACCAATCGATCGGACTATCCCATCGAACCATAACGAATGGGAAATATTTTTCAGTGCTGCTGGCTGTCTCGTAGTTAATCAACAGATAATGTGTGTAAGTACATATTATCTGTGATTATAATCAAACCGACTTATGATAGTGACATACATATTAAAATATTATCAATATCTGAATCATTCATATCCATGCTGTCCTGTTACATATTTCTCACTTATTGATTGTTATGAAGTTGTAACATTCATTGTTTGGGTAAATCAGCATGTAAAAGTAAAAATAACATTCACGCCAGACAATGACCATTTCCAACAAGAGCGAGAATCTAACCATCATCTCTTGACATTCACACTGAAAACCTCACTATCAGCATCCTCACGGGGTGACCACTGACTGGAAACTGAATTAACCCTGTATATAAGATGGCTACAGGTGTGGGTCAGAGGCTGGGAATACTGCAACTCTCTTCCTCTATCCCCAAACCTGTGCACCACATAAGGCATGAGTCAGGAAGTGAGGAATACACTCCAATTATCTGAACGAGTGCAGGTCTCAGAGTAAGGTATACAACACGGAAACAGACCCTTCGCCCAACTCGTCCATGCCAACCAGGTTTCCTGAACTAGTTCCATTTGTCTACATTTAGCCCATATCCCTCTAAACCTTTCCCATCCATGTACCTATCCAAACGTCTTTTAAATGCTGTAATTGTACCCACTTCCGTCACTACCCAAGTCAGTTTATTCCATGTGAAAAAGTAGCCCCTTAGGTCTTTTCTAAATCTTTCCCCTCTTACCTTAAGCCTATGTCCTCTGGTTTTGTACTCCCCTACCCTGGGGAAAGTTTTGGCTATGCATCATATCTATGCACCGCATGATTTTATAACCCTCAATATGCTCACCCCTCAACCTCCTACACTCCGGGGAATATGGTCCCAGCCTATCCAGCCTCTCCTTTTCACTCAAACCTTCCAGACTAGGTTACATCCTTGTAACTTCTTTTTGCACCCTTTTCAGTTTAATAACATCTGTTATAGAAGGGCAACCAGAATTGTACACAGTACTCCAAGTGTGGCCTAACCAATTTCCTGTACAGCTGTAACATGAATCCCAACTCCCATACTCAGTGCTCTGACCAACGAAGGCAAGCATGCCAAACGTCTTCTTCACCACCCTGTCTACCTGTGACACAATTTTCAAGGAACTAAATACCTGCACCCCAAAGTTTCTCTGTTTGACAAAACTCCCCCGGGCCCAACGATGAACTGTGGAAATCCTGCCTTAGATTGTCTTATCAAAATGAAACATTTGCATTATCTGAATTAAACTCCATTTGTCATTGTCCACTATACCACCAATTTTGGTGTCATCTATAAACTTTCCAACTATGCTCTAAGGTTTTGGAGTAGATTTATAGCTCGGGTTGCGGAACAACGAACCAGCTCGGAGAGCCAACCAACCACAACAATTTCCAACCATGCCTCCTATATTCTCATTCAAACTGTTTATATAAATAATGAACAACAGTGGACCTAGCACTGATCCTTGCAGCACAATGCTGGTCACAGGCTTCCAGCCTGAAAAACAACCTTCTACAACCACCCTCCGTCTCCTATCGTGAAGTCAATTTTGTATTTAGTTGGCTAGCTCTCCCTGGATCCCATATGACCTAACCTTACTAACCAGTCTACCATGCAGAACCTTGTTGAAGACCTTGCTAAAGTCAATGTAGACAACGTCTACCGCTCTGCCCTCATCAATTGTCTTGGCCACCTCTTCAAAAAACACAATCAAATTTGTGAGACACGATTTCCCATACACAAAACCATGCTGAATATCCTTAAAAGTCTTTGCCTTTCCGAATGTAGATCCTGTCTCTCAACTTCTTCCCTAATTCCCACAGTGTTCTGGGATACATTTGATCAGGTCTCAGGGATTTACCTACCTTTATGCGTTTTAAGACGTCCAGCACCTCCTCTTCTGTAATGTGGACTCTTTTCAAGACATCACTATTTATTTCCCAGAATTCCCTGGTTTCCATGTCTTTCTCCACAGTAAATACTAACAAGAAATTTTCATTTAGGATCTCACCCATCTCCTATGGCTCCACACATAGATGACCTCGTTGATCTTTAGGGGCCTTATTCTCTCCTTAGTTACTTAATGTACTTGTAGAATCTCTTTAGATTCTCCTTTACCCTATCTGCCAAAGTTATCTCATGTCCCCTTTTTGCCATCCCGAATCCCCTCTTAAGTATACGCCTACAACCCTTATACTCCTCAAGGGATTCACTTGATTCCAGCTGCCTATACCTGACATACTCCTCATTCATCTTCTTAACCACATCCTCAATGTCTCTAGTCATCCATTATTCCCTATTCCTGCCACCCTTGCCCTTCACATTAACAGGAACATGCTATCCCTGAAATCTTGTTATCTTCCTTTTGAAAGCCTCCCACTTGCCAGACATCACTTTACCTGCAAACAGCCTGTCCCGATCTACTTTTGAAAGTCTTTGCCTAATACCACCAAAATTAGCCTTGCTCTAATTTAACTTGTAGACCAGACCTGTGCTTTTCTATAACTACTTTCAAAGAATTATAGTCACAGGTCCCAAAATGTTCCCCCATTAACACCTCAGTTTCTTGCCCTGCCTTATTTCCCAAAAAGTGGTTGTGTTTTGCCCTTTCTCTAGTAGGGTCATCTACATACTAATTGAGAAATTTTTCCTGAACACATTGAACAAATTCCTCCCCTTAACACCAAGGCAGTCCCAGTCCATGTTTGGAAGTTAAAATCACTGACTATTACAACCTTATTTTTCTTAAACTATCTGTGATCTCCCCACATAGTTGCTCTTCAATTTTCCACTGACTACTGGGGGTCTATAGTACAATCCAGTCAAAGTGATCACCCCCTTCTTATTTCTCAGTTCCACCTGTATAGATTCACTGGACAATCTCTCAGGAATATCCTTTCTAAGTACTGCTGTGATGTTTACCCTAATCAAAAATGCCACTCCACTTCCTCTCCTGCCTCTCCTTCTATCGTTCCTGTAGCATCTGTACCCCGGAACATTGAGCTGCTAGTCCTGTACCTCCCTCAGCCGTGTTTCTGGCTTGACAAAGCTTTCCAAGCTTGATATCATCCTGGACGAATCAACCCGATTGATTGACACCACAGCAACAAACACACTCTCTTCAACACTGACACTCAGTAGCAGCAGTGTGTACCATCTACAAGACACACTGCAGAAATTCACTAAGGCTCTTCAGACAGCACCTTCTCATCTAACTTGTGCATTTCCAACCACAATCAATTAAGCAAATAAATGACTGGATAATTCACTTTTCCAGGCCCCTGCAACTAACAAACATGTTAAAGAATTCCACCACTGAAACAGACCACTCAACTCAACTAGTCTGAGCTGGCGTTTATAATCCACACAAGTGCTACTTATAGTGAAATTAAAATAGAAAGTGCAGTTGAAACTTAGTGCTAATGGCAGCATCTGAAGAGAAAGAAACAGTTAATCTTTCAAGTCCAATGACTGATTTTTCTTCAGGACTGAAGATTGGTGGGAAAGTATTTTATTTTTAGTGCATCTGCTTTGTGAAAGCAGTCTTTAACTAATCTATGATTTGTATCAACAAGTCAATCAAAGATGATATTAACAAACAGAGATCTGAAATTACATCAAAATATGCAATTTGTTTGAAGCATTGATTTTGAAAGCTTGTAAATTGTAGGAGGAAGGTGAAATAACTCCACAGAGGCCCACATCCTGTTCCCAAGTCACCCTTTATTTACACATGTATAGTATTTGACAGTGGGCCAGCTTCCTCAGAGCCAGCTCTGAGTGAACAGAACCTCTGTCACTCCTGTTTGTATCTGTCAGCCAGGGCTCCCTGATTGGACCAGGTTAACAGCCCTAATCAGGGAATTCATTTTCCACCTGGCTGACCTTATTATAGTCACTACATCTTTTCCCCTCTAACTACAGGGGTGTAGACCTGTTCTTTATTGAGTAGCCTCTCTGATGTCATTTTCGCACTGGGTCTCGTTCCTCTGCGTGAGCCACTGATGCAGCTGGCATGTACCGGACTGTGGCCCACCTCTTGCACCCAGAGCGTCTCGGAAGAAATTCATCCTCTTCCTCAGGCAGTAAAGGTGCTGAGATTGCGACATCCACTGTATCCATCTCAGACTCTGTGGTTCGGGACAGGACTACCAACTGAATGTTAGATAGAGAAGGAGAAGGCTGTTCTGAGGCGCTGGGTATGTTTTGCTCCTGCGCTTTTTGCGAGTTTGTGGCTTTCACGTGGTCCATATGCTTGTTCAGGACTGCCTCACCTACCCGAACTTTGTACGTCTCAGGACTCTTTTGCTGTCTCAAGTCTGCATACCGACAGCTTGCCAGCTCAGATCCTGAAGAAAATGTTAACCATATGGCTGAGGCTTGGCTTTGTTTTGGGGTTTTGCTGTGGACTGACCTAAAGTCCTTCTGTTCAGGATATGTCCTGAGTGAGGCTATGCAATTGCCTTCACTCAAGTGATGTCACCCAAGCTCCGTCAGCCTGGTGAGGGTATCCACTTCCATTGTCATATCTTGTAACTCATATGCTCTGCTTGCCACATTTTCTGATGACAAAGCTGGTTGAAATGTCTATTTGATGTCCAGTTGGGCTTCAGCTACTGGGCACTTTTGCATGGCTACATCATTAATCGCACACACCAAATGGTCTCTCAGCATCTCATTAAAGGTTAAACCTAAGTCACATGCTTCTGTCAGTCATCTTAACCTTGTCCAAAATTCCGAAACGGTTTCCCTTAATTCTCGAACTGCCGAGTAAAACTGATAGCATCTC